CAAGGAACCTGCCTTGAAATTCCTAGTATTCCCTGTTTTGGTTGGCACCTTCCTGGACCCTGGGATTCCAATCTGAACCTCTAGCTAGGTTATTGGGTGGAGCCGGGCTTGCATGTATCCCAGACTGGCCTCAAACTGTAGCCAAGGATGACCTTGAATTCCTGATCCTCAACCTCCCAAGTACTGAACTTACTGATGTAATTCCATCACACCTGATTTATTCGAAACTAGGGGTTTTAACTCAGGGCTGTGGATATGCAAGACAAGCACCCCACCAGCTGAGCCGTATTCCTGACCCCTGGCTAGATTTTGGTGTCAAAATCACCTCTTTAGTTTTCTTTTCAGCTGAAGGCACGCTGTCACAAGCATCCCAAAGCAGGGCCTAGAAGTGGGACATGCATGCAGTGGGTGGTTCTGCTAGGAGTTGTGCCAGTCCACACCCCTGCAGTTCACACCCCCTGCAGTTCACACCAGCCCCAGGACAAGAGCCTTGGGGTCAGCTAAGGTTTGTGCAGGGTACAGCGGGCAGACAGGAGCCCTTTGCCCTCTGTGTCATGTGCCCAGACGTAGAAAGAATGGAGCTCCTCATGTTGTGGGCCTCATGTCGTTGGCCTCATGGAGCAGGAAGGAGCCAAGGACAAGATGACCCACTTAAAAACCGGCTCCTTTCAAAGCAGCGTGCCTGTGACCAGGGGCTGCTTTAAGTGGGTTAGCTTATGTGCATACTTGGTCTTAAACTCTTCAAAACACAGCTGTTAAACATTGGCATTCTGTTTTCATTAGCTTGTAAGCCTCAGCAATGGGGACCTGCCTTGTTTTCTGAAGCGGCAAGTATGCCTAGAGGCTAATACACAGCAGGTGTCTGCAATGAAAGGCTCTTATTCTCCCTATAAATGGGAGTGTAGGCATGAGAAAGAGAGGACAAATCTGGATTCTAGTGCTAGATACCTCTTCCCAGAGCCCGCATCTGAGAATGTGGTGTGTACAGGAAGTGTGTATGGTGTGCGGAGAGTATGTTTCTGTGTGTAGTAGGGAGTGTGTGAATACGGATGCTTGTGTATGAAGAAAAGAGAGCCATCGTTGGACGGGACAAAGTGATGACAGAAAAAATAGCCACATCACTTGCAGGGCCTGGTGCAAAATGAAAGCAGGCATGAAAAGCTCAGGATGGCCGAATGGGAACATGGAACCAAGTCCAAGTTAGAGGGAAGTTTAGGAAGCCCTCATGGGGGCCTGGTGAAGGAAGCACAGTTCCCATCTCCCTTAGACCTTCCTTGCTGCCCTGAAAAGCTCTGAGTCCCAGTGTGACAGGGTCTGCAAGGAGTCCTGCATAGTCTAGGATTGCCTTGTGCCTTCCTGTGCCTTCTTTTTTAGGCCACCCCCTTCCCCCCCTCCTCCCCGCAAAAAGAACCCACCATTCCTAAGGTGTCACTCATGCTCAGCTCCTTGTTCATGAAACAGCCTGTGTCTCTCTTGCCTGTGTGCAGTGGAGCTCAGGCCTCTCTCCCAGGCTCTGCCAGTTTCCTCAGATGTTACCAGGAATCGGGAAACATTTAAAGTGGTTCTTTGCTGGGTGTGGTGTTTCACATGGGGATCCCTGTAGGTTTGAGGCCAGCCTGGGTTGTAGAGTGAGCCAGGACAGCCTGGGCTACAGAGTAATACCCTGTTTCAGAAAGAAACAAATAAATAAACCTACAAATAAAAACAGGCCTTCCAGGGACCTGAGCAACTCTGTCCTGGGCTTCCTGTCAAGCTGGCAACGCTGCTTCGGGGAGAAATGGCCAAGAGAACCGGAGCTGGGACAGAAGCTACACGAGGGGGCGGAGGGTGGAGGCTCTCTGTGACCTTCCTGTTTATTGTCCTGGTCTGTCTCTTCTTGGGTCAAGTTCAGGGTGCCTGCTTCAAAGTACACTCAGAGGTACTCACAGGTGATAATGAAGGTGTTCCCGCCCTAGCCCCAATACCTATCTATACTGGTCAATAATTACACTTGATGTTCTGGGTTCCGGGAGGAGGAGGCGGCGCTCACCTTTCTTGGTGGGTTTAGGGTCTCAGCACACAGTCAACACTTGTTACCCCTAAGTCTCTAGTTTTCCAGGTTTTCCAGATGTGGGTACCTAATAAATGCCAAGGGCTTGAGCACTTACCTCTGTCATGTTCCCATGACTATCCAGAAATGGGCCCTGCATTTAGCTGGAACCACAGTCACAGAAACCACATGGCTCTGGGCAAGGGAGCTGGCCGGCCTCTGCACAGAAGCCACCTGCCACAAGTCACGGCCACCCAAGCACAGAGACTAGGAGAGCAGTTGGGGGTCTGGGGTGGGATCCTTTATAAGGTCCAAGTGGTAGGTTGACTGTGGGGATGGAGTCTGCCATGAATTCATGTGGGGATAAATCAGTTTTCGGGGGGGGGGGGGGCCAAAAATTTGCTTTTTCCCATTTTCTGGG